ACTGACCAGCCTTAAAGCAGGGCTGTGGACAAAGACAGGAAAATGTAAGGCACTTAACACATGATAGTAGTAGCTGATCTTGTTAAGAATGCCACCAAGGATAAGAACAAGATCATGTGTCTTTCAGCATTGTGGGTCCTACTGCTGGAACATTCTAGATTTATTTAGCCTGGCTGCAGGGTTCCTGAGGTAACTCCCCCTTCTTGATGTCATCCTTTAGTCCCTTCTGCAATTCTGAAGATTCGCCACTAGGTGGCCATATTTCCAAGCCCTGCGCAGCAAAAAATGGGGGAAGGGCGCAGCACATTCTAGAAAGCAGGTTCTGAAGTGGTCCTTGGATTTATGACTCCGTCATCATCTCCAACCCATCTTTTCAGACCCTAGACTTGGGAGTGAGGGGGAAATTCCGTGTGGAAGGTACCTACAAGGTACCTGAGAAATGAGATTAGGCGACACTAATGGGTATCCCACCTGTTCTGGCCAGTCACCCCCACCCTTTTTGCATCTCCAGTCACTGTCTGGTGCCCACCCCCATTACCACACACCTCCAGAAATCCGCGCTGTTTTTCTGTTCTTCTTTTCTCAAGCCTCTGGTCTATAGATGCTCACTGTGGCCTGTCAGAATATTCCAGACCTACCGCGCAGACAGGTCACTTTCTATCAATCAGAAGCCTGTGGGGAGTGACAGCACCCAGGACGCAGGGTACTGGGGTTCCTCTCAAGAACAAGATCAGAGCCCTAGTAGCTGAGGCGACTCACCACCCACTAGCTGTGCTGGCCCCCTGCACCTGCACCCACATCCCTGGGCTCCAGGCTCGCTGTCCTCCTCCCCCACAACCCCCCCACCGCCATTTCTCCTGTGGCTGCCTACCTCAGAACCTGTGTGGGTCCCGGACTGACACCTGGAGGAAGGTTGTCAGGCTATTGACTCTGCCACCCTCCAAACCCTCACACTTTGCCTCTTCAGCCGCCCCCTGCTCCTGTTGTCCGCCCTGAGTTTCTGCTTCCCCCCCCCCCCCCCCCCGGGGGGCCCCGGGCCCCCCCCCCACCCCGGGGCAGCCCCGCCCCCCTTGCCTCCACTGGACTGTCAGGGCCGGGCAGTGGTCCGCAGTGCGTGACAGCCCGGAGCCCTCGACACACCCCCACTTGCCTGGCCAGGCGCACAGCCCAGGTCCCCGGGCTTCCCCGCGTCCCTCTCCTGCTCCTGGCCGGTGTCTGTCCTCCGCAGATGCTCTCACTGGGTTTTCACCGCTTTGCGCGCGAGTGGAATGGCAGAGCTGTGTCCTGTCCCCACGCCTCTGCACCAAACGGGCAGGGGCTGCGCAGACTGCGGCAAGCCAGCTCGCCTGGAGGGTGTCGGGAAGGGGGCGGAGGGATACCGCGCACGGGGCTCGACGCCCCCTCCCGGACCCACTGTAGTTCCGACTCGGAGTGGGCGGGGCCAGAGGCAGCCCCACTCCTCTTGGAGGGGTGGGCTTCACCAGTGGGCGTCTGCAGACCCCTGTTCACCCTAACCAGAGACCACTACCCCCTTTTTTTTTGGCGCCACTATAGTGTGAGAGATGGCTGAAATCTAAAGTCTATGAGAGCTTTGGGGAGGGGGACTACAGGGAGGTGAAGGTCTGCAGTTGGGGAGCAGGAAGGAGCAGCGGAAGGATACTGAGTGGGCCCCAAGATTCATTTGCTCTTCAGAACGAGGCTGGACAGTGCCTACTCATCCCAGCACCCCCTCTCTACTCCCCCCAACCCTCCCCCCTTTTCTGACGCCAATGGAAGGGGAGGGGGGCTGTTAGTACTGCAGTCTGAGAGGGGACAGGTGACCTAGCAACAGCCAGCCAGCCAGTAGGTTCCTGTTGATTCTCCCATGTTTTCTTTTTACTGGCTCATGAAACCATGAAGAGGAGAGCATTTGTGAATCTAAGGAATAGGACATGGAGGCTTCCATTACATCCCCCACCACTGCCCCCTTTCCAAAATGGAGATAGAGGCAGAGAGAGAGGGAGGGAAAGAGAAGAGAGAGGAGGGGAGAGATTGTTCTCCTTCTAAGACACAATACCCTTTGGGTTACTTATTGTCTGTCTCCACAATTGTCTTTTCCCTGTCAGTATTTACAGGATGCCATAGACTCCTGATGTTCTTCTGTCCTACAGCCAAATGTTGGGGCCCATTTTGGGCCTGTTCAGTTTCCTTGCCCATCGTTCTCTGAAATCATCTCTTGCCTGCCAGTCATGCCCAAGCTCTCCTATTTGACAGTGTGCAAATGCAGGAGGATCAGCTAGCTTGGATCTCAGCCAAACTAACTACCTGGGTTCACTGTATCTCTCAGGAAAAGGACCCTCCATGCATCTTTTCTCTCACAACCCATCCCTGGCTGATTTTGAGTCTTTCCTTTTACCCCATCCACAAAATTCCCTCTGTTTGTCCTCTTGTCTTTGCTTGCTTTGTGAGAAAAACAGGAAAGGCATTAAGCACACAGTAAAGCTGCTGGGCTTGTCCATTTTGAAATTCATCTAAACACCTACCCAGTATTCAGCAAAATAACAACCCCAAGTCCATACCCAGGATATGTGAACATATATTATTCGTCCAAGGATAATTGAAGTTTCAGGTGGAACTCACGTTGTTAATAGTGGGATCTAACACACATTTATGCTGGATGAGTCTTCCCAATATAACTGCAAGGATTATTGGTGTGGCATAAATTTTGAGTTTGAAGGAAGCAGCATTGGGGGGGGGGTTGGACAGTCCCTTGTTAGCTTTGAAGATGGAAGGAGGAACTACTGTAGCCATAGAATATAATCTGTCTCCAGAATACAGGAAGAAAACCAATGAGGATTCTCCCATAGTAATCTTAAAAGGAACTCTCATAAGACCTTTAGTGTCAGTTTTTAAAATAATTTCTAACTTCCATAATTGTAGAATAATAAATCTGCATTATCTTACGCTATGACATTTCTAATACAGTTGCCTCTGTCTAGTCCCTGTTGCGCCTCTGTATGTTCAAAGAACCCTGGATAGGAAAAGTCTTTTCTAAAATATGTTCCTGTACTGAACAAACTTTGTCTTACCAACACTCTTCAAGCAATAAAGATTAATGAGTTTCATAAGATGTGCCCTGTATTCAGTATCTTAAGCCTTTTGAAAGGACAATTTATTACTTTATGTGTATTTGTGCTTTGCATGCAAGTGTGTTTGTGTACCACAGGCTTGCTTGGTACCTGCAGAGGTCAGAATGACATGGGATCCCTTGTAACTGGAGTTACAGATGGTTGTGAGCCAAAATCTGGTTGCTGGGATTGAACTTAGGTCTTCTTCAAGGGTAGTAAGTGCTCTCAACAGCTGAGAAATCTCTCTAGCCCCTGACATTCAATATTTTAAGCAATCTAAAGCAGACAAAGTTATACTGGAGAATTCACATATGATATATGAAAATTCTGTTGTGTTTCATGAAAGTGAGTTGAGTTCCCACAGGCATGAGAGTGAGGGCCATTCTAGAACCTCTGAGGAAGTCACTGTAATTTGTTATAGCAGTATTAATAAACTCATTTCCCATCCTGGTAAGTCCTATATTCACTGTCTTTCACTGTGTTTCAGTCTCTAGGAAGATCTGCTCTGCAGTCATTTCTTAGCACTGCTAACCACCACTGTGTTGAAGTAATCATTTCAAACGGCCTCAGGTCAAGCTGACTATCTAAGCTGCAGCAGCTCTGCCTAGCTCAGTGGTCATGTTCCGTGGCCAGAGGCCTTGTGCACACCGCAACTAGAAACGGCCAGCCAGAAACACCAGCCCTGCCACACGTGAGACACCAGCGTGGGAGATGGCTCTGCCAATCTTCCACACTGTCTCTGCAAGGCTGGGCAGTGCCCAAACCATCCCACCATCCACACGGGCCCAGTAAGAAAATGGGACTCTAATGCTTAAATATTAATCAAAGGCTTTATATGTTTGGTGATGCTCAATAACAATATGCCCATATAATTAGAGTTGTTTCCCAATTAGCTAACCTAAATATAAGTTGTTACCCGAGACCCCTCTCCATACCTGCGTGGCTCTTCATCCTCCTACATCTCTGCCCTCTCTAGCTCCTCCTCTTCCTTTTCCTCTTCCTCTCCTTACTTCTCCCACCTTAGCTCCTCCTATACCACTGCCTCTTTTCTCTCTTTTTGCTAAAGAAGAAATACTTTTGTGATGGTCCATGGAGCTCAGTGTGGAAACTTATTTTTTTCACAATCACTGATATGAAGGGAATCCTATTTTCATTGTGAAATTTTCTGCATTTCCATATTTGTAAACGGATATTTACTCTAACCATACATTGTTTATACATTAAGAAAAAAGTAACCCACAAACAGTCAAGACTCCTGTCAGTGCTCAGTGTTGGTCTCCACAAACTGATGGTAAGGCTCTATTTCTGAAGACAATACTTGCACAACTCATTGAACATGAGAAGTTGAACTGGCACATAAATAAATTCTTCACCCAAACTGACTAGTATTTCATGGTATTTGAAAGCATGCTATCAAAGGAGAAAGGTATACACCAGCCCAGCTACAAAACCTTCAATCTACGATGCTGTCCTGTCTGCAAAATGTGCTAGCTAGTGCAATAGTGGCACAAAGCTCATGGGAGGAACCAGTCAGTATCTGATTAGAATTTAAGGCCCATTTTGTGAGATGGAATCTATCTGCGACACTGTTCAGGTGATTTAGAACCTAAGGCTAGATATATCAGGGACCTGGTATAAAACTAAATACTACTGCTAAAGGAATGTAGCAATAAAGTGACTTCCAATGGCATTCTGTTATATTTGTAGATCAGTGCCTTGCTCACTCATCATTGGAGAATCTTCCTTCTGCAGCAGACATGGATAACCCACAGCCAGACAATATGCAGAGTGAGACCTTGAAACACTCAATCTGAAATGGGATGTACCGATCAAATTCCTAAACTTAAGGCTTAGGAAGCCCCTCAGTAGACAAGACAAAAAGA